AGGGCTTACTGTCAACATCTGGAGTTCAAAAGCAGCAAGACCATGGCATCAGAAGTGTCAGTTCAGAGTCTACATGCCCACTCACAGTGCCAGGTACACAATTGGAACTCACTTCAACATTCAAACATTTGTGCTCTGAATTTAATGTAAAATCCAAGTGTGGCTATTCTAGGCGAAATGCCGAAAGCCACACTGCTCGCAAGGCACGCAGGGGAGACACCCCATTGTCCTCGTGCCACCCCTCCACGTGCTCCGGGCGTGACCCCGTGACGCTACAATGTGAAATTGTTCCTCCCCGAGCCGTGGGAGAGCTCAGGGTCAGCCCACGTAGGAAATGGGGGAAGGTGCAGATGAGCAACTGCTGCCCTCAGGGTGCAGCAGGTGAAACATCAACCCAACAGAGAGCAGAGCACAGCACGTATCCATGATCTCAGCCCAGCCATGGAGGCTCTGGAGGTGCAGGCACGGGGCAGTGCAGGTGGGAGGACGCGTGCCTGCACGTGTGCCCCAGCACAGCAGCACTCTGGCAGAAGCCGCGTGCTACAGGAGCGTTTTTGCAGGGCTGTGCAATTACCCAGGTGAATTCTTTAATCCTGGCTTTCCACTTTTATTCAAAGTAGTCACGCATTCAGAGAACGCATAAAAGTTGATTAATTAGCTTCGGATGTTTAAGTGAAGGACACAACGCAGAAGAGCTGAGAACCCAGCTTGCAGTTGCTGAGCGTTTTTTACAGCACTGCACACAGCATCCATCGCTGGCAGCAGTCACAGAACAGGAAACAGAGAAGTTTTAAGCCTGGGAATGGTGCGTTTGTAATTGGATGAGCCACTTCCTTTGAGAGGGTAATGCGAAGCAGAAGTCACAAAGCAAAGCAAGAAGAACAATCTCCTTTGTGCGCCACCCGGCTGGGCTGACACCACGGCGGGGTGAATGCCTCGCACATCGCTCCTTTTGTCCCCACCACTGATGCAGCGTTTTCCCTTTTCAAAAAAGCCTCCTGACAGCTTCGTAAAGGGTTAAAGCTCGACCAGGAGAGGGGGGGAGGGGAAAAAAAAAGAAAAACCACTCATTAAAGAATGGAGCAGGGCAAGTGAAACCGAAAGGCAGCAGGGCGGCCACGCAGCTACCCAGACTAAGCAGAGGAGGAGCTGAAAGCCCAGTTTGGAGATATTTTAATAAACACGGTTAACGTTTCCACTCAGCTTCCATAAAATCAGTTGCAAAACGTGTGCTGAAAGAAGAGTTTTAGTGAATTAAGGAGGCTGAAAGCCATCGTGGTATTAAAGAGGGCCAGATGTTTCAGGAATGCTGTGTTCTGTAATTACTTTCAAGTTAGAAAGAAAAAAAAAAAAGCGGCACCAAAAATAGCCCAGCTCGTTTTCAAGTCACCCACTCGCTTCCGAAAATAGCCGCTAGTCTATTAAAAATTATAAAAAAAAAATAAAAAGGGGGAAAAAATCTAAAAGCCCGCCAGGCGAGGGGAAGCAAGGGAAGGCGGCTGCCGCGCACCCCCTCACACAGACCACGCACTCAGCGTACGCCACGCAGTTTGCGCAGCCGCCGCCCGGCGGGCTGAACGCTGCCAGCGCACTCGGCGTACCCAGCATGCGCAGCGCGGGGCGCAGCCTCCACACGGGGCCGGCGGCGTTGGCTGAGCGCGCAGCCAATGGCGGCGGCTGAGCGCGCAGCAGCCGCCCTTTGAACCCCCACCCCCCCCCCCTCCTCCTTCTTTCCCTTCCCTTCCCTCCCCTCCCCTCAGCAGCTTCCTGCTGGCGGCGGAGCGCGCGGAGCGCCGCAGTGTGCCTGCCTGTCAGCGCTGCGGCACAAAGAACAGCCATTTTGTGACTCGCCTGGCCCCGCACCAAAGTGCTGCCGAGCCCCGAGCCCCCCCGCTCCGTCCAAGCGGCGGGGACGGTCCCAAAGGGGCAGCGCCCAGCTCCTCCCGTCCCCCTCCCGGGCAGCGGGCAGCCGAGGGGGGTGGGGGGCCGGTGGTGTTGCCGCTCGCAGCCCGCTCGGCGCGGTGTGGCCACCCCGCCATAAAATGGCTGCCGCGCGCGCGGGGAGAAGCCTGAGGCGCTCGCTGAGGAGCGCCCGAGCCCCGGCGGCCGAAGGGACGCCCTTTCGGCTCGAGGCCTGGCCCTCTCTGGTATTTTGTTCGTTTTCTGCCCCAAAACGGTGAGAGAAGCCCGAGTGCGGCCCCACGCCTCGTGGCGACCCCAACAAGGGTAGGCTGAGGGGGAGCAGCACGCCGGGCTGCTGCTGCCCGCTGTGCCCCTCAGGGCTCACGCCTGGCTGGCTTCACAGGCCCCCTGCCCGCCTTCTGCTTCTGCAGCTCCCCTCAGGGCTGTGCTGGGAGCATGTCCTCGCCAAGAGCCTGCCATTTAGGAACAGCAGTGCAGAAGATGCTAGAAAACACACCAGGGTTGTGTTTGGTGCTGTCACACGCACATCCCAGACACACGGGCGGTGGGCACTGAAGTGCTGCATCCCAACTTTTAGCCTAGGTGGAGAAAGTCCCCTGAGATGAAGCACTTCCCCCTGGGGCAGAGCAGCGCCGTGGGCAGTCCATGAACACAAAGGGCAGGTGCTGCTGCTCCCCCTGAGAGGCACCAGAAAGCTCACACCCCTCAGCTTACAGGCTGAGGAGTTAACACCGGCTGTCCCCCAGGAACAATCACCTGCTCCAGGACAATTCTCAGAGGCATTCTGATTTATTCAGCACATCCTTTCACTTTCTTACGACTGGCAACACAGGAGTCAATTTCAAATACACTCCCCAGGCAGTGTACCAAGAGTACAGGTATGTTTTCTTCTCCCTGAATGCCTTCTCCTAGTCCTGTATTTTGGCATCTCCAGCTCAGGTAAGTGGCACACCAGTTATATCTACCTTTTCCACCCGTTGCCACCACTCAGGCCTCCAACCGAGGATTATGTAACAAGACTTCACAAATTTACACGCAGAATCTGAGCTAGTCTCACAACTGAGGAGAAAACTGGCTGGCAGCGTGTGAAGTGCAGACATCAATGCATTTCAGGGCTACAGTAAAGCAAACTGGTGGCTTTACTTCCTAGAAATCATTTCCCCTGCAACTTAAAAGTCAACCTCAGGAAGTAAAGCACATTTTACGACATTCAGCTGACTCACAGCTCAGAAGCAAGCTCGACAGGGCTCACTCACAAATATCCTGTGTTCAATTGTTCCCACACTTCAGGTGAATAGATGATACCCACAGCAAGTTTATTTTGAGGAAAAAAAATGTAAGAGGGAGGGCAACCTCACACAACAGGTGTTACACATAAATCAATCGAGATAAACAACCTTTCAAAGAAAACAGCAAAATCACACATGTGAGACTATGCAAATATAATAACCCTAAGGACAAAAAACACAAAGGTCTTTTTGCTGTGGAGCTACTGCTGGATGTCTCTGATTTCATCTCATACTCAGCATACTTCTAACACCAATGAACTACCTTAATTCAGATTTCCTGCACAAATTACATCTATTATTGCTTTGCTAATAATCCACATTAAAAAAAAATGCATGAAGACTTAAAGAAGGTGAATACCACTTCTTTTTAAAATTGACTTTTTAAGCAATATTTGAAGTTTTTCTAATAATAAGGATAGCAAGGTTTGAAAATCTGATGTGTTCTTAAATTGCGTTGTAGAAGCACTGTATAGGTGCTATATGCAATGCTTCAACAGTCCTGAGGCTAATTTGATTAATACTTGTTTAATTTGAAACAAACTTACCTATATCCATTTTAGGATTTAAAATCTGACTGCAGACTGAATACATCCAGAATACCATAAAAATTTACGTTAGGTTACAGTAATTCAATAATGTATACATTCCCACAGCATTTCAAGTTTGTGTTTGAGGAAGGTTAAATACTATGTATCAAAAATACTATTCAAACACCTGCAAACATCACACAGAGCACATGTGATACAACAAACAGTTCAGAATTTTTTTTATTAATGTTACTTAAAAATTACTTAACACCAGAGGGAAAAAAAATAAACAGGCCACAATTCAATCAAAATTAACAAAATGCAAAACCGTATTTACAAACTAGAGAACAAAAATGCATATAGTTTAATTTCCAATATTCGAAACAGCCGACTCATTAAATACAAAATGAGCAACCCACTAATTGTATTTCAGCATTCCTAGCAAAGAAACATTTTCAATATTCCATACTTCTCCCACATCGAGGTTAAATTTATGAAAATCTGTGAAGAATCCCATTACTTGACAAAAGTAAATAAAAACACCAAGCAAAAATACCTTAAACAAACAGGCAAAGCATTTGCACAGCCTCTTGTTAACAGTCCCGGTTTATATTTTATAATACAAAATGCTACGACCAGCAGGGGAAAGTCTGGTTTAAATTGTATCAAAATATTCGAAAATATCGAAACAATATCAAAGTTCCACAAGCTCAAATAAAATTTGAAGTAAGAAGTATCGGACAGAAAGGCACTTTCCAGTTTTTATTTTAAAATGAGCTTTTTTTCATTCATGTAACTTTTTCTTGTGCCTATTTACTATAATTTACTACTACACCAGGCTTCTGTATGGCCCTCAGTTAAAGTTTAGACTTCTGAGATTCTTCAAAGAAAAATTTGCCTTGTATGTAAAATGGTGCAATGCAGCAATGGCTAAACCGACAAGGTCATTTTTCACAGCACAAAAAACCTAAAAACTGAAATTCAAAAGGTGGAAAAACATAATACAGAGAAAAGGGCTCCCCTGAATAAAGGTACAGTACCTTTTGACTATGACATGGGCCCTTAAGTCACAACACAACTTTCAGAAATTGCTACCAAAAAAATTAGGGTGTGGCACGCTAACAATCTCAAGGTCATTCCTTAAAAAGGAAACAAAATCAGTAAAATGTTTTGTATTAAGCACTGACAGTAACCTAAGGCTGTCAAAGTAAACAGGGTATTCACAGGTTTAACAAAAAAAAAGAAAGTTGATAGATCATACCTCGATGCATTGCTGTGGACTGAACCCTCCTCTCCTTGGCTTTTGTCCTTATTTCTCATCATCTTTTTATTCTTAAATACTAAGAGGGGGCCAGGGGTGTCTGTTTGCTTTGAAGTCCTGTGCCCAGGTATTTACTGTCAAAAGTTGAAAGAAAGGTAAGGTCCCAGTTTGTTTCACTGGCTTTCATTATCAGGAACAAAGTCCTGACGCTGCAATGATATTGTTATAACAATACACAACACTGATCAACACGGCAAAACGGAGATTTAAAACAAATAATCGTTTTTAGAAGAAAAATCGGAGAATAAACACAGTAGAGGAGCATCCTGCAAACTTTCCCAAAGTAACACTGGATGCAAATAATCTCTGAATCTTATTGCGTCATCCCAATACAGCTCAAATCGGTCGAAAATCAAAGTACTCAAAACGGCAGAAATCTAAAAATTATTATTATTAATTGCTCACCTACCTGATCCATGCACCGCCGCCAGGACCAAGTCGATATTAGTTTCGGGTCGTGGAAAAACATTAGATCCAAAATATTTAGAGTTCAAATAATAAAATACGAATTTCAAAAAATGAAAAAAAATATATATTCTAATTCCAAAAATATGCTGCCGATAAAGCAAAAGAAGCGATAATTAGTACAAAAATGTCCGGGGGAAAAAGCTCATTAGGAGAGCGCACAAAAATGGAGGTACGCCATGGCTTCTAAGCTGGAAAAACAACGACCTGGGCTCTCTCCACGGCTTCTTCTTTCCAGCAAGGCACGAAAAGGGAGCCCTCAAAAGCTGCTTTTCTGCCCGAAAAAGGTCCGCTCGGCCCCCAATTAGTGCCTAGGAGAGGCAAGGGGCTGTGGGGGCCCCCTGAGGCTGCCCGAAAGTTAGGGAAAGTTGCGTAAAGTGTTGGGGAAGGCACGGAGCTGAGCGCGCTCTCTCTAAGGCACAGCCGCCATCTAGAGCTCCTTCCCAGCTCTGAGCTCTGCCTTTGATTGACACTCTCTACATTTACCCCACAACTCAGGTGATGTACCATAGACCCACCCCTTCATTTCTACCAAAAAAAGAGATAGCCTCCACCTAAAGGGTGCCTGCTACCCCCCACAGCCCTGGCTTCTTCCAACTACCCCAGCTGAAGGGGCACCTTAACCCCATGTGGCTCAGGCACCCTTTTGAAACCAGAAAGGAATGTAATTTGTGCCTTTTGTTTTAAAGATTTGCTAAATATTTCACTGCTTGGGCTAAAATTACTTCCTCCCTGGACAGGAAGTGGTGCTGTTACAAGCCATTTTGAAAGAATGGAAGTAGAGCTCACAGCCATGCAGGCAGCAACAGCCCACCTTGGGGGTCACCCCACCCAAGGGGCAGCTTTTTTTAAATTAAGTAATAGTACCCCCAGACAACAGCTCCTCCTTTTGGCACCCAACAGTTGCACGCAGAGCTTGGGAAAGGAGCCTCACACGCTCCTAAGGAAGCCCCACAGCACTAACAACCCCTTCCAGCTCGACAGCGCCTCCCTAGTGGTCCTGCCCAACACCAAAAATCCAACAGCTACGCCATTTTCATCAGATGCACGAAGGCATTGCTGTAAAATAAGTCTGGCACCATTAGAAGGGTTATTTCCAATTCCCATTCTTAACCCATTAATGGTCATTAAGGGATTTTTTTAACAAGACAAACAATTTTTCAAACCACGGAATAGCCAAGATGGAGACGTAGAAATCCAAGCCATATCCCACGTTCATCATCCCAGTACTGAGAGGAGCTCTCACGGAGGAGATGGATGAGATCCAAGCATCCCCACCACCAGTTGTGTTCCTTCAAGCAACGAACTACCTAATGCACAAGGACATCCTGCGTACTCGCGGGCATCACACCACGACAGAGAAATCAGCCACTGGGGGACTGCTGGGGGGAGGAGGGCCATGGGCTAGCTCAGACCTCTGAGGTCCATCCACCACACAGCATCCCAACAGCTTGGCACCATTGGTTTCTACCAGCTCAGCCAAGATCCTTTCAACTCCGCTACACACTTGCCATCCACATCTCCCAACAACCTATCACGTCTCCATCCCAAGGGGGTTCGGGAAGGCACGCTCTGTTGTCACACTCCATTTTGCACCATCTCAGTTTAGCGGTTATTTACAGAAAGACCCCTTGCACCTAAACTGCAAGAACTAACAAAATACAACATCAAATTCCAAGCAATTTCGGCTACCACTAAAGAAATGCATTCCTCTGAACATGGGTCCCTTTAGGTTGGTCCCAATATCCAACACCACCACAGAACACATGGCAAAGAAACTTCAGCAGGCAATCATCAAAATAGCTGGATTAAACAAGTACGAGCAATTCATTATGGTTAAGGTCAGTTATTTACAAAGAGGACTGAGGAAACCAAAGGGCTAAACACACAGCATTTGGATATCTTTTAGCCTTTTTTTTTTAAAAAAAAAAAAAAAAAAAAAAACAAACAACATTGCCTAGGTTCTCAGCACCACCTTCGTCTTTTGCTAGAAAACCAAAATGACAAAGACCATGTAAATTTCAGGTAAAATGTACTTAGGAAGGCGGCTACATTTCAACTATTTCATCCATGAGAAAGTTAAAAATATCCATTTTTAAACATAAGAACCATTTTAAAATTCATTTGTAAAGGTGACCATCATCAGTACCAGTAAGAAAATTAACTCAGTTTTTCTCATCAAATACATGCTATGGTACCAGGCAGCTAAGCCTACATTAAATAGCGGTGAAGGAGATTACACACTTGTACAGAACAAATTTAAGACAGAACAGACTGCTGAGGAAGTATGTTGCCCAGAAAATCTGGTGAAAGTTTCTGTTCATACACATGGCTGAATCAGCATACCTAAAAAACTGACACAAAATATTTAAGTACTCCTTTATTATATCATATTTGCTACGCCTTCAAATAATGTTGATTCCACCTTAAAATAACTTCACAAAGTTTAGCACAAGTACCCTGACAACACAGCAAGTACTGAAAAATGCCTAACATTAAGCACCTGAGTGAACAAACCAGAAAATTCATTAGAAGTCACGGCAAAGTGAAGATAATTTGTAAATGAAAACCACATTTTAAAAGAAAATCAAGAATATAAAAAGAAAATTACCTTGCCTTTAGTGCTTGGCAGCTAAAGTATTTCTCACTTTCATACCAACCAAAAATGTAAGACACTTAAATATCAACACAATAAAAAAAGATTCAGCCAGAAAGGACAAACACGAAGCATGAAAGAAACCAAAGCCTTTTATTAAATCACTTTAAAAAAAATACATTTTCTCCAAAGGGGTAGCAGCAGATCTCTTACCACATTCATTTCCCTTTTACGCATACATAACCTGGGAATAAATTTTTGCCACCCGATCCTCAAACAGATCCATCATTGGATTGTCACTGATACAGTCCCCTGATTAATTCAAGTGCAAAGTCCATTTTGATCGGATGATCACAACCCAGATCTTCTCTGGTTTAATAACACGGGAGTCCATGTTTTAACGTCCTTTTCTTGGACAGATATATCACAGCACTCATGCATTAGTCCATTTCCTCAACCTCTCAATCAACAGTGGAAATGCCATCTTGGTCTCATTCGCAGACTCCTTTTGACACTCTTCATCTGACTGGATTCTTTATGGAAAATTAAAAGAAAAATGCTGTTGGAATACAGATTATCTCATCTTTAAACTAGAGACATTCAACTACTGTACCTTAAAATAATTTAAGCATAAATGCTGCTGCTTTTATTCCGTATTACGCATCTGAGAGCATCTACTTTTATCATGAACTAACGAGGGCAATTCAGCAGTTCAAGAGTCAAAAATACATACTTTAACCCAAACTATAAGGAAGCATGGGACAATTGATTAGAAGCTCAAGAGCCTTTTCAGGCTCCATAAACTCCATTTAATTTTTATTCCCCATACCGAAGAAATCATTAGGGGGAAAATACGAGATTTGCTTTGGCAGCCATCTTTATTGGACTGACCCATTGACTAAGGCTTACACTGCTGTGAGGAAAGCCAAATTTATTTTAATTGAGCCAAAGCTTTTAACTGCTGTCCATTCTCCTTTCTTCAAACACAGACATCCATCAAAACCAACGCAGAGGCATGAAAACTGGTTTCTTGTATAAAGATGGTGACAGAAGACAAGACATTACTGAAATTCCACCATCTTAACCCAGTTTTCCAGCTCATGGAAGACATACAAGGCAACAAAAAAGACGTGTATAAACGAACAGAATGGCTGATCTAGTTACTGGTGGAAAAGGACATGTCAGAAGGCAGATGAAAATGGTCACAAGTCACACTAGTTGCTTCAAGTAAGGCCACCATACTACTCCTGAGCCATATTCCAACTTTACTCTTCAGGTAACAACAATCAAACCCACAGGTGAGTGACAGAAACTAAACTGATCAAATGACTTCCACATGAATGAAAACAAACCACACATTCCCAGCTTTACAGTTTCTTTCAAGAAAAAATAAGCTGATATACTTCAAGAAAACTACTCGTCCTCCTAACATGTAAAAATCAAGTACAGGAAATTCCAAAATGGTAAGAACATTATTTTAAAACAAATGATGACTGTAGGAGATGAGTGATACACAAGAAAGGCTTTAGAATGTCTTCATGATTTTTGAGTACCTGCACTCTAGCATTACTTTCTTTTGACCATGTACATCTTTAACCTCATTTTTAGTCTGAAAGCCAACTCCACCATTATGTGTTTTCCATGATAATTTTGTTCACATTCTCACAAGTGACACAGAAATTACCCAGAGTACAGCAAAAAAACAGTGGAGCCATCTAGTGGTCTCTTCACCATTCAAGTTTCTCCATTCTCATCTCAAAATAACCAGTAACAGCAAAGCAAACAGCAATGGAACCAGTGCAACAAGCCTTCCTTCATCTGACTTACACATCTGCCCATGTGTCTTAGATTTAATACTCCTCCATATGCAGCTTTCTTCCTTGCTTTAAGCACAGTGGAAAAGTAGCACAATGCACAGGAGTGAATGCAAGGTCTCATAATTCGCTTCGCTTTACATTGTGCAACAGGTACAGTACTAATAATTAGTCAGCCCATGAAATCTTTACATTTTCAAAAGCAAAAATCAAACATTTTGGTTTGCTGTATTCTCTTTCTAGCATTCAACTCATCCTCAATTAAGGCATAAATTAAATATTTGGAAGAGTTTCTTTTCCATGCTAAACTAAAGAAACAGCTTGGGGCTTTGGTTGGTTGTTTTTATGTTTGTTTTTGCATTCTTACTGATGCACTACTCTTAATTTCAAGCGTGGACGTTTGAAGATAGTATTTTGGATATTTTTTACACTGATGTTTTGACTGAAGTACCAAAACATGAAAATTATACCACCACAACGTTGTCCGTTATTGTTACAATGAGATATTCAGAGGTACTAACAGGAGTGCAGCATAAACCCTATAATGTATTTAAAATAATTCAGGTATTTTAAGAAATAAGTGAATTTAATTACTGACATGAGCCTTCCCTGCCTCTCAAAAATGTGATTCAGTTACACATTACTCAACCTTGTAAGACCCTTTACAGTTGGGTTAGCCTTCTGCCTTGGACACTGATGAGATCTGCCAAAAGCAATTTAAGGGCAGGTTTCTCTACTAGGCTTACCTACATTTGGTTGTAGCAAAAACTTTGTGAGTAGCCCTGTCACATTCACTTTAAACTCTTCTTATGACCTTGTAAAATAATTAGTAGTAAACAGAACTGGTAATAGAATTAAGAACATGCTACAACCACCCTTGGTCTAAAAGCTGTTCACATATTGAAGACACCACAATAATGACCAAGTTTCTTCATGTGAAATCTACACTTGCATTAAAAGATTTCACAGGACTTGTTTACTCACGTTGTCTTTAAGGAACACTTTGCTAAAAAAAATTCAATGATGTTGCTAAAATATACTCCTCCACTAAGACATATGCAGTGATCCTACATTTAATGTAAGCCACTGAATAGCCTTTTTTTTTTTTCCCCAAATGACATTGAATATTTCATTCCTTCCCTAGCATCAGTTGGGCAACATTCAATTTTTCAAACTTGTATTATCTACTGTTTACTGTATTTGTTTCCAAACCCAGCACTTTGGCCATGATTAATGAAGGGCCTTGGTAGTCCATACAATTCTGTGAGTTTCCCTCAGATCCCTGGTAACAATTTGACAAGTCTGTAATAACAGAGAGAAACCATTCACTGCCACTCCTCAAGGTATATGGCAACAGTTTTTGAAACATCTAAGTTAAAAAGTTTTTGCTTTAGGTTTCTGTAATTATTTTTGTGTAGCTCTACCTAGTCAGAGCTCACAGCAATAGAAGACATCCCTCATGGCCTTATGCCAGGGCCTCAAACCTTGTGTCTGCTGAAACTCCCTATTTCTGAAGTACAACATCGAAGGCCAGTAACAAATGTGTAACAATCATGGGGCAGTGCAAGTGCGTAAGACACCAGCACGGTTACCAAATGTTCATATTGAAGTCTCTCATGCTGGAAAGTTTGTACGATGAGATGACAAATTACTAGTAAAGGGAATTCACTCCAACAGAGGGAGCTGAATGGACAGAATGAGGTTCCGACAAAGAAAACCTCAAGTCCTACACTCCAAAGTTCATTAAAGATTTTACTCCTTGCAGACACCTCTCTGGTAACTTGCATTCTAGAGGGAAAGGCAGGTACGCCCTTTATTGACGTCTAAAGCCTACAATGAGTAAGTAACTAAGTACGTACTCTGGGCAGTCCTAAGTCCTCTTCTACATCATTATATGTGCAGTAAGCACAGCACTGAGAGCACACCTCCTCCTGTAGGATCAGGTGGTTTTAGTTGAGAAAGGCTGTCTTCCAGTTTTCTCAGATTTAGAAATTAATTTCCAGTAAGATGTGAGCAAAGACTTCATGCACTCTTTAGAGGTTTTATTTTTAAAACCAAGCAATCAAATTTTTTTTTTTTTAAAGAGCAAGTATCATTAAGATTTGGGCCTAAATTAAGATAAACCACATAAATGTTATTGTATAAGCAAAGTGTGCTAATTTCAATAAATCTCATAGTGTCTTCAAGTATTCTCCCCTTTCTAATTCAAAGAAAACTGTATTTAAAAGTTAGTGTTTCAACTAAGCATAATTATGTTGGCAAACAGAGAAGGGAATACTGCGCTCTTTCAAGATCCATACATTTCTATGTTCTTTTACAAATGCATTTTGAAGCAACTCATTCTGAGGACAACTATTCCTGTAGTTCAGTTTCACATTCATCCCCTCCTCTAGGTAAAGATTGCAAAACAGAAAGATGGAATAATTACTCAGTGTGTAACTTTGAAGCCAAATTCCTACACAAGACACCAAATCTGACACAGCATATTTACAATTCAATGAGAGAAAACAGAAATGCACACAGAAAGATGCAGGAAACAGAGATAAGGATTTAATATTGAGGTGGAACATAATAATGACTCACATATTTAAAGATTATAGCAGGTGACCTGGAAAGAAAGGTAACAGTGGACAGCACAGCAAGAGTTTCAAGGAATAGTTGGAAGGAGCAACATTTACTTGCAACATAGTAAGAACTATGCCTTTATACATGTATCTGCACTGTGAGACATAGCTTAAAACTTTGTAAAAAGCAACATAATAAAATTCACAAAGCAGTAGAAGAGATGAGGCACTAAGCAAAGAACACCAGAACAGGCACACACAATAGGAACTGAATTCCTCAAGGTTCATCTGTTTCTATTGTTTTGCTTCAGGATTGCAGATTGTGTGATAAATTGGTTCAAAATGAAGTGTAACAAAAAGCTGCACAAGGCCACAATAACACATTCAGGAGTGGTATGCTCCTTATCCGCACACACTCCTTTTTTCCTTCAGAAGAGCTCTACATTAGTCTTCACATCACATGAGTAGATCAGAAGAAAGCAAGGGACTTTGGAGTACAAGCAGGGAGTGGCTGCTTTTCTGACACCTAAGGCAGCATAGATGGCAGCTTGTACCAGTTCAGAATGGTTGCTGGAGGTCTTTGCTAACATACGTAACCATTGGACAGTTAAAAATTACCAGCTACCATCTAGACACTGAAATGAGAGTATTTGCATCTTGGAACATTTTTTTCAAGCCATCTGTAGTCTAAGGCAGGCATTACTCAATCAGGTACCCTTGCAAAGGGAAAGAACTGCCTCCAAGAAACTGTCTCTTTTAAAGAGACATTCTGAAGCACAGTTCTACAGGAATACAGAGCCTCCCACTAAAAAGTCACTTCATGTACACAAAATCCAGTGGACATCCTAATTAAAAGTGTGGAAGAGCTGTCTCATGCTATAGAGACAGCAAAAGGTTATCAAGACCAAATTTCTTTTAGTAAATGGAACTGGAAGCAAGCCTACCCCCACATAACATATTCATCCCGTACAGAACTGAATGAATTTCTCTATTCAAGCCTGCCAGTTCTTCATTTGACTGTATGGGGAATGATTCTGAAGTGAAATGTATCAGCTGGCAGTTTAATATAGCCAACTGTATCAACATTACATATGGTTTTCTCTGCAAAGCTGAAACACTGACAAACAGAGAACAATCACAGAAGAAATATCTCTGGAGACAATTACTATCTGCTCCAAGACCCTCACTTGATGCTGAGGAGCACAGAAATACAACATGAGGTGTGTAAGGCAAATTAATTACCTCCATTGTAAGGCATGTAGGATTTCTCTATGGTGACAGACATGGGCATATCAAACCCTTCTGAACAAGCATATCTATGATTTAAGAGTTCTCCAAGAAATACGGAGTTAACTTCGATGCAGAAGGCCCAAGTACCACAATTACATATGAAAGCTGTTCTCCAGCAAGACAGGTTGAGAGTGCCACCCAAGCATAGCTTTCATTCCTGAGCAGCCCAGCAAGAATGCTGCTGTGCCCTTCTCAGCGAGCCTTCCAGAAACACTCACACAAGCACGCTTTAAGGAACTTCAGGATGTATTCATCCAAAAACTTCAGCAAGTTAAACATTATGGCCATGTGTGGGGTTTTTTTGTTTTGTTTTGTTTTTTGCATATTATTTTTTAGTTATTAAAGCTAAAAAGTGAATGTTATTAGGAATAACAACTTACCAGTGCTTCAACCAAGAGCAGTTATTTTGCTTACAGTAAATTCCTCAACACATCTGTAGGGAAAACAATATGTTAAATGCTAAAATTTAAGACAAAGATCTAGAAAACCTGAACATTAGCCTAAGTCTATTACAGTAGTCCTATCCCTCAATGAAAACACTCCCAGCAGACCACAGCATATGGCACAGTAGACATTTTTATCAAGAAGTTGAACACGAGGTATGACTAGGCAACCTGCTATCAGAGAACCCCCCCCCAAAAAAAAACAGACCTAAACCTGCACACAAATCCTCTGGAGGAAAAACAAAATATAAATACGCTGAAACTAATCTGTCCTCCACAGATAAATAATTAGAATACTAGTTTTTCTAAAAGGCAGTATCAGTTAGGTGTAGAAGAATTGTTTAACCCACTGATATGGATTAAGTTACCTGATCTATATCCTATAAAGTTATTCATTATGTTCAAGTCCCAAATTTGAAAATTCCACTTGGAAAATGCTTACTGGCAGTCCACATTAAATATCTAACATCTAACCTCTATCACTTTACAGAGAGGTAACAGGATTAAAATAAAACCTGAAACCTATTAACTCACCTAAACCCCCTTTTTCAACTGTGAATTTCATTTGTATTAAGTAACCCACTACCATAAGCTATACAAATTATCCTCCTAACATGAAAAAACAAACTGCTTGTCTTGTGAACTCTCTCAATCTACTTAGAACATAGCTTCCAATAACGTAAAAAAAATAACCTATTTGGTGATACCATACTGTGCTTCACTTTCTACAATGTTCTGATTTCCAACTTCCAACTGATGGCTACTCAGATGTGTAGGAAGAAACAAACAGATCAATAGAACAAGTTTATTTGTTGATAATAATTTACTTGAAAGAATTAATATCTATGAAAAAGAAAGAATTAATAATAAAAAGATCCCTTCAAGGAAGGAAAAATAAAAATCCATAGTCCTGAACTGCCACTAACATGTAGGGTATCAAGTGGGTACGAAATTTGCATGTTTAAAACATGCCTTTAAAATGTGATCCAACTGCAATTAACAAATGGAAGCACGAAGCTGAGGTACTTGTAAAATGGTGGATGAGCACTTCGTAGAACAAACACAACATGGTTACTGGACTCTGATCCTCCAAACGGCATCTATCAGTCATTTACTCAGAGCACATTTACAAAGCTTAAGAAGTGAACTAGGCAAAGAGGCTTATTTACACCCTTTAAGCCTCCTTTTCTCCTGTTATCAAATGCTTCACTCAATAGAACACTTAGAAGATCATTTCATATGTGAAGACAAGGTAAAGCTGACAGTTGAAAGATCTTCAACTTACAGCCCTCAGTCACTTCTAGTAATTTATAGCACAGCTAAAGAGAAATTGTCTACATTTAAGTTAATTTATATTTTCTTTAAATCTGGCGTTAGCATCTAATTATAGTAACTCCTCAGAAACTTTATTAAGCATAAAGAATCTGCCTTTGTGTCAGCACAGAGGAACAGCTTCCTCTACTAGAACAGTAAAGTAGAGACTTAACCAGAAAGCATTCTTCTCAGCTCAGAAAAAAATTGGAAAACTAATTTAGTATTTTTCAGAGTAGTATCACTAACAACTATTAGAACTTCTCTACTCTAAAATGAGTATTTGAACCAAGCAATGAGTTTTATAAATCAGCACCAAGATATACATTAATGCATATAAACGAGTGATCATTTTCCCACCATTTTCAAACATACCATTGCAATCTGAGTTTTGAAACCTTAATTCCCCAAACACATTCACTACCAAACTATAAAATGCATAACAAAAGCTGAAGGCTTATGCCAAGGACAAACCAGTGAGCTATTAAAAAAATATATATTTTTTTCACCTGAAGCTTAAATTTAACACCTAGATTTTCTGTTTAGCACTCTTTTATGAATGTTAATTTGAAAATCTTTTAAACAGAGCAGTCACGTAACTGCTCTAGTCCCTGCGTGATTAAGAAAGCAATCCCAGTTTTAAAAATAAACAGACTTTTTAGGTAGTCCTACAGTTGTCTTGTATTTTATTTCTGAATTACAGAAGAGATGCCATAGGTACAGCACAGCCTACTCCAGAGAAAACGCATTGCATCACAGGTCCGTTCCCCAAGAGACCAGCACTACAAGCTCTATGTATCAGGCAAGCACATCTCCTGTTCGTAAAAGGAGGTGAGGCCAGCTGATCTAAAGCTATTGACTTGGCACCAGTTTCTTTCTTGGGATAAATTAAGTATTTTTTGCAAGGAAGATGCAACACATCACCATACCAGTGACTTTCCACATAAGCTGTCAGTCCTATAAATGTTATGCCTCATTAATATGCTGTAGGGTGGTCATGAACTTAAACCTTTTCTTGAATCCCCAGTAACATACATCTAGCCTACTGAAGCCTACCTACCTAGAGCAAGCTGCCACTTACTAGATGAAAACATGTTGTTCTTGTAAGAAAAGAAAGCTCCGAAGAGCTCACAAAAGCACCAAGAGACATTTAAAGCTGTTTGTATTATAATATCTATTCAGCACAAACAGCACCATGATGATAATAGGAAATATGTAAGACAATTAAGATCGAAGTGCTCCATTTCAAATACGTTATAAAATGCTCAGGTCACTCAAGATGACTCAACTCATGGACACTGTTCCTTTTCTCCTTAAGAGCAAGTTAATTAAAAGTGCTAACTTCAGAAGTTTATAACATTAGGAATACAAATCTTGAGTTTGACAAGTCCGTTGACAAGACCCATTATTACGCTGCGGGTTTGAGCATATGCTTTTATTTGAATCACAGTCCAGTCTTGGCTTCATTGTAATGGACTGCGAAACGTGTCTGGCAATTCTGACCCTCTAAATTAAAGAGCCACAGAGGATTTCAAGTATGTTCTGCTGGTCCTCTCAAGGTGTCAGATCATTTCTAGCCAGGCTTCTGTTCACAGACTTCTCATCAGACAATTACACAATGAAGGTCCAGAACGTAGCTAACGACCTTGCTCGTTTCTTACTATTTTGTGTCTAGTGTATGTCTAATACATACAAACATAATTCATTTGTATCTTGCATATTAGCAGTAACTCACTGCACGTAAAAGTTTATTACAATTCAATCAGACAGTTTTAAAAAGCTTAATCAAAATTGGTATACAACTCCTCTTATACGAGGCAGGCTGAAGCTTTCATCCAAGTCAAAGAGAATAGCTGCGCTCAAGTAGGAGCTCATACAATTAGTATTCTTAAGTTATACTGATAAATTGTGTATTTTTAAAAAGCAAATTATCAGGAGTATTTCTGAGAGTTCTGATACATGTCTCCACGAAGATGCCTTAAGCTTTGAGGTCCTGAATTTACACAGTAATACATTAGCATGGTAAGCTGTGAAAAGGAACCAGTTAAGACAGACAAACAAGATTTCCAACTTCTAATTACACAGTGGTGAGAGCATGGCCCATGTCACTAAATGTAGAACCCTGAAGTAAGCGTAAAATATTAAAAAAATATTAGAAAGTTGACTGCTTTGTACTGCAGTAAGAACAGACCTTTTAATTCAGACTTAGTGTGGGTTTAGGCTTTTAAGAGTAAATTTAAGTTGAAAAGAGAATTTCTAAGTTTATTGTATAAAATGAAAAGTTTAACAAACGTTAGTTGCAAACAAATCAGTAGCATGAACTTAAGTAATCAAACTCTAAAAATAAACTGGATGTCATTAGTAGCAATGGCAACCCTTGCAACCAAAGCTTCATTCTACAGTTTGTTATGGCCATTTCAGAATCTTAAAAAAAAAAAGTCTTATACCTGACCATAAAAATCTTAAATGTGTGAAGAGACGTTAATGTTACGTTATTTAGTACATAGTGCACTTGAAAACTGTTAAGACTTGAAAGGAAATTCAACATGGTCTTAGCTAAAGCATGTCACGTCTATTTTGCTCACCAAAATTTACTTCTATTATTTAAAAAAACAAAACAAACAAAAACCACAGCGTAACATACCTGGTGTGCACAGTACTGAATTTTGATCAAGGTCTTTTAACTTGAACAGCCATCTGAATCTTTGGAAGTAACAAAAATATCCAGTACTACCCTTTAAAGAAAAAAGCAACAAAAGAAACAGGTTTGTCTGAAAACAAATATACATACAGATTTTACCTACAGTTCTAATGTTCTTAACCAATGCAAACTTTTGGAAAATACAGAACAAGTCTTTCAATTGATAAAAATTGTACCTAGAGTTCTACAATGTAATATGCTACCTTTATTTGCCAAGCGTTAACATTAATGTCTCCAAATAGGAGAAAGAGGCCTCAAAATATTCTTCTGCACAAATACCTCAAAGTCTAGAGTTATTTGGCATTTACAGATTTTACAATATGCCCAAGCATTAATGCTACAAACTCATTAAGTAAAAAATGTGTGTTTTTTGTAAAGCTGAACGCATGTTTTCACAGGTGAAAAAGGGCAAATGGAATATTTGGGTTGATATGAACATATTGTCATTTCCCACCAAATACAACGCTTATGTGTGCGTGTTTGTATATACATACGATCTCCTTTTTAAAAAGCCTTAGAAAAACTAAAAACAACACAGAAGCAACATATACGTCATTAATTTTATTTTTAATAAGTCTATCATACGTGTAGAAAGAAGGCTTTTTAGAAGTCCAGTTAATTTATAAAATGTACTCTTTACAATTTAAAAATAAGATTTTTTTCCTCCCATCCGCACATTAGTGAAAAAGCAAAACCCAAGATAGAAAAATAAGTAAATGAACATACAAACAGAAGTTGTAGCCACTCTTACCTAAGAAAATAAGGTACGAACGATTCTTCTGGAAGCCACTCAGGAACTAAGGTATTGTTCATGGAATTCTACCTAAGAGAAAAAAGAAAGTATGCGAATTTTCAGCATTTTGCTTCAGAAAAGGAGAACAAGTAACATCTTGAAATGTATCGATCTTTATATAATTAAGTTAGAAAAAAAACTTACGATAGCAGTAATGGTATCTTTAGAACTCTAAAAATAAAAGTATGGGTGGCTGTACATACTTGGCTAAGAAAAACATTGGAGATGAAGAGTGACTGACATACAACATGCATGATCTGTGTTTTTGCATGAATAGCTCTGATCTGCTCTCCTGTCTCCCATTACTTTGGGTACATGATTAAATGCCTAGCCTATTTAATTTTTCCTTAGAAGTAATTTATTGCACATTGCCTCTCAGTCCCTCTACTTCTTTCACATTAAAGTCTCAAGAAGCAGACTATGCAAAATTAAACGAAATTATTTTGCTATTGCAAGAGGTTTTAAAATGGCTTCTGTCATCAGCTTCTGTGAATTTTAAGTCACAAGTTACTTGATCTCCCCAAATAAGGTATCTTTTTTGCCCTTTCCAATAGTTTAAAATCTTCAGGTCCTTTGACCTTTAATGAGATCCCGAGCTACGCTCTTGAAGACAAGGAACACCGTATTTGCATTACCTTTAATCAACTTTTCTCGCTTTTGTGAAAAGGCTTAATCTTGAATTTTGCAGCAGTTACATTTACCACCATTACTTCATACTCAAGAGTAAGTTCAAAAATCATTCTGTTAATATGCAGGTAAATGTAATACTATGTCAATGTTACAGGATAAAATATGTAAATTAAAACTCCAGCATCCTATATATACAAAAACGCAGAATCACTACATATACGAAAAATAAAAACAAATTCTTTCCAAAGACAACTGCCATCTTGATTCCAGTAGCTAAAAAACAACTCAAAACTACCTTGAAAAAACCCCTAATACACTGAAAAATAAGAAATAAAAATATAGGAGACCCCCACCTAAAGCTAGAACTTTCTTTTCAGCAAAGTGTGTATGTCAGAACCTGTTCTACACTACAGAACTGTTGCTGGGGTTATAAAACCACTATAATCCAAATCTAAGATAAAGATACCAAACACCTCGCATAAAGGTGATAAAACTCCAATGGCTGCTCAAACTTGTATTTCTACCTCAAAAAAAAGAGAACTTAACTGAAAATATGAATCCATCATTTCAACAATTAAGGACTGAAAATGTCTGTTTCTCTCAAACCGCAGTATTTAAAACCTGCACGGACTTTTATAACACTGTACACAACTATACAAGAAATAAATTCTTTAAATACGGCTATACACAATCCCCAATTAAAATCGGAGTTCCCTACTTAATATTTACCTCCTGCTTTACTGGAGTGACTTTCTATACATTTGGAATTACAATTTTGCCCCTAAATTGGTAATTGTTGAATGTGAGCCAATGTAAAACAAAACATTCCATTTAAACTCGCGTTTTTAGAAAGTCTTGCAATAGGTGTTGTACAACTTCTAAATTATTAACCGACAAAACAACGATAAAAACGCTATATAAACAGAAACGACTGCAAGATCCCTGAAAAACGCATAAACTGAATGCTAAAAACAAAACTGTCACCCAATAAACGCTTTTTAAAAGCTTTCACTGTCACAGACAAACCCCTATCGTGTTAATTCATATTTAAGCAACTACCTTTTCTTCTCCTGCTGCAGTCTAAATCACAACTGTAGTATTTTGCCAACTTTAAACTGTAGACTTGGCATGACTTTTGTTTTTTTGCTTATGCTTCTAAGTTTCTGCATTGCCACTTTAACTGCGAAATTATATTGGATTCGATTCTTAGGAGTTTTCTTTAAAGTTTAGCACCTGAACTACTGTTTTTCAAGTGAAGCAAATTTCTATCTATTGTTTCAGTAAGTAATAAGCTGTCTCATCCGCAGCCTGTTTTTTTTTTCTCACTGGCTTATAAGGAGTTAAAAGCCAACACCCCACAAAAAAAAAAAAAAAAGAAACCAAGTTTTATTTTTAAGAGAAAACGACATGGCGTCTTTGTTCCCACAAACTCCGCCGACAGAGCCCGGTCCGCGCAGCACCGGGCACCGACCGCTCTTTAAAGACCTACGGGGCTCAACATTTCCCCGGTGATGCAGTCCAGCTCTCGCCGCCCCCCCCCACCTCCCTTCGCCGCTGCTGCAGCGGAGTTGGAAGCTGCCGTGCAGCTGCCCCCAAGGGGCTCGGGTCCGCAGCCCCCCCTCCCGTGTCCCCGTCCCCGTCCCCTCGAGGCGCAGCCGCCCCCAGCCCCTCGCCGCACCGGGCTGCGCGGAGCCCCTCGGTGCTACACGGGGAGGAGGGGGGGGGGCTCGGGGAGCGCCCTGCGGAGCGGGAGCCCCACGGCGGCGGCGGGGGGCATCGGAGCGGGGCTCCCCTGGCGGCACCCCGACCCCGACCCCCTCCAGAGCCCCTCAGGGGGGCGGCGGAGCCGAGCGAGGGCCCCCGGGGGAGCGGTGGCGGCGGCGGCGCGGCGGCGGCCCCCTCCCCCCGCGGGCTCCAAGGACATTTTGTTTTTCCTCTCAAGGACAAAGGACAATGAGGAGCGAGGGGACCCGCGCACTTACCGGCTCCGCGCTGCCCGCTGCCTGCCCGCGGGGGGCCCGGGGCGCCGCTGCCCTCCTCGCCCTGCCCGCGGCGGGTCCCGGCTCGGCGCTCAGCCGCCCGCCCGGCCGCTCGGGGCGAGGCGCGGGCAGAGCGAGGCGGCCCCGCCGCCATGGCGCCGCGCTCCGCTCCCAGCAGCCGCCCGCCCGCCCGAGCTCCGTCTCCCCTCCGAGCCCCGCAGCGCCGGGCCCGGAGCGAAGCCCGGAGAGCGGCGGCGGAGGCCGGCGGCCGGCCGGGAGCGGCTCGGAGCGGCCGGGGGGGAAGCGGCCGGGAGCCGGGCGGCGGCGGCGGCTGCTCCCCCGGCCATCTTGTGCCGTGTGTGCGAGCGGCTCTCGCCCGTCTCCTCTCAGCGCCTCGCTCCCCTCCCCCCGCACAACATGGCGGCCCGCTCGCTACTCACTGCGGCGAGGAAGGGGCGGGACCGGGCCCCTGCCCCCTACCCGCGCCGCGCGGCGGCTCCCCCCTCCCCTCGTGCCCCCCCCCCCCCCCTCAGCTCCTTCGCGCCCCGCCCTCGGCTGCGCGCGCGCCGCTCGCCGCTCCCCATTGGCCGCGCCGCGCCCTCCCCGCCAGGCCAGAGGGCGCGCAGCGCTCCTATTGGCCGCGCCGCGCCCTGCTCAGCCCTCCGCCTCCCCGCACACACACACACAGCCCGGGGCCCCCCTCGCGCGCGCGGCGGTCGCCGCCTCCTATTGGCCGCCCGCCCCGCCTCTCAGTGACCGCCGACGAATCCGAGCGAGCCGCGAGCGGCGCAGGCCGCTCCCCATTGGCTCCCGCCCGCCTCCCCGCTCCCGCCCAGGCCGCGCCTCAGGGGGCGGCGGGAGCTGGCTCCGAGCTGGCTCCGAGCGCCCGCCCCGGGCCCCACCTGGCCGGGGCATCCCCAGCCCCGCCCCGCGCCTCAGGGGCCCGGCCCTCACACAGCCCCCACAGGGCGTTACACGAGCTGTACACACACAGATGCGCGTTACACACATGTATGCACACACACATACACGTTACACACAGATACACGCTTATACACACAGATACATGCACAGACATGCACTATATCGGATATCTGCCGTGACACACACACGATGTGACACGCACCTGGCACCGGCCAGGCCCAGCCCCATCACCTGCCCGCCTCAGGCACCAGGCACAGCGCGGTTATCGCGCTTTTTTTAGCCAACGCCATAGAAACTGGCTGCGGTGCCAACCTCGCCAGGACACGCTCTGCTATTTTGACTACTGCCATGGAAACCAGATCGCTGCACCATGGGGGCATTCCCTGCGTTCTGGGCCAGTGATGCCAGTGATGCCCATCCACAGTTGGCCTGTGAGGGTGTTCCTGTGCTAGAGGCACACCCAGCTACCACGACTGGATGACATAATTAATATTTACGTGCTTCAGCAGTCACTTTGAGTGATAAGCATGCCTTTCTCCTCTCATTTGCACATCTTACTCCATTAAAAGCAGAGAAAAAGATGGCCCCATTCTCCCTTTTTTATCTAATAA